ATAAAGGCAGCACAGCCCTAAATATCTTCAAATGCTGAAGCTTCCAGCAGAAAATCAAACTCCAGGTATTTTACAAGCTGCATGTAGCCGAATTCTCAAGAATCGAACAAGAATTGGTCTTTATAGGGGAATGGGGTTTAAAATCAGACCCTGTGCCAGATTTTAACTTAAACTGTACACAACACCCATATTTCCCTCTTTGATGAGAGTATGTAAATATAAAAAGAGGGGCAGCCATATGCAAATTATGTTCACTTCTAAAATAAGAGTTTCATGCTAGACCCGGGGCTCAAGAACCATTGTGATTCTCCCAGAAATCAGTCACATTAGCATAGTACTGGCCTACTTCACAACTCTCCGGCAAGGACAGGGTCAAATCAATTTGCTTCCGAACTCTGCAATTTACAGGTAAAACCTGTTGATTCTCTTTTTGATCAGGAATGCTATATTTATCTTGCTTTTGGACCAAAGATTCACTGTTACCCTTACAATCACTTGCAATTATTACACAATGTATGATCAGCATAACACAGCCAAGCATTTTTAGCCTGCAGTCAAAGTAGCGTAGGAGCATAGACAGAGCACTTTCACCCATGCATAATTCCATTCCCTTAGTGCTGGCAATTGTGGAATCTAGAATACATTGAGTGTGTACTATCAGCACAACAAACACTATTAAATTGCCCGAGAGGGGACAGGAGAGGAGGAAGGGAAAAAAAAAATTCAAAGCATGTTAAACACGCCAAGTGCTGAATTCTAATGATGCCAAGCGCCAGTGATGGGAAGAGGAAGGGATCTTAACAAGCCTTGATTGGTAGCGGAGGCTCCCACCCTGCAGATCACGCAGCGCTGTTCATCTTTTAACGCCACTGAATATTGATAAATATCTTCTCCCCGCACCATGGGGGGAAGTTGGGTCTCTATTGGAAAGCTCTGCCAAACTGTGTGTTTGGTTTCCCCCGCCTCTGCACTCAGGGGTTTACTCTGAGTGATTTAATTATAATTTTCCTTGTGTAAGACAAATTAAAGAGAGGAGAGCGAGTGTCATGCCAAATCAGATTATTTATCTCCTTAACTGATTGCTGTGCTCCGAACCCCAGAGACATTGCTAATGTGCTTCCCCGTGTAAACGGGAGATTTGAAATGTACTATTATAATTTTATTTATGGAAAGGGAGGGCGGGGTCTTTCTTGTTAAAGAGGTCCTGCATTCTGCTCACTGTCAGGTTCCCAAGGAAAGCGTGAAGAGATGGAACTTTACATTCTGACTCCTCCTTATGTTTCCACTGTGGTCTCCAGGCATACACTAATGTGAAACATTCATTTCATTCATGGTCTTCTTTCTCTCTAGGCAGTTGTGCCCACTCATGTCACTAGAAATCACCTTGCACTGCCCCCTTGTATCCTTCCTACCATACGCCATCAGGCATTCATCATCATTAAACAAACAATTGAAGATATTAAACTTGTTTTAAAACATTTGCCACCCTCATCAAATTTTCTCTGTTTCCCTATTAGTATCCACCAATTTGCCACAATTATAATTTGTCTTTACTAAGAACTGTTCTGCATTGACTCTGAGTCACCAACCCAATTCACACTTTTGATCTTGATTGGTAGTAATGGAGGATAATACAACAGGTTTTTTTTCTTGAACACTTGGGGCTTGTTCACAACCCATGTCCATTGAGCTGCATGTTTTCTGCACATGTATGGTTTAAACAGGGCACAAGGAAAACCATTGTTTGTATGTAAAGACATGATCTTTTTTTCTCCTGACTGTATCCTGTTGGGGAGATTTCCCTTTACTTCTTGTCCCAAAGGCAGAGAAGCGAGAGGAAATGTCTACATAGTCAGGCAGAGTTCACCTCTTGGTTGTTGCCAAAACGTTCTCCATTTGAAAATTTAGTCTCACCTCTTATTCTGGTGACACATGTAAAATATTGCTTTCCTATCACTTTCTGTCACAATGACAGCAGTCACCAGGACAAACAGAGAGGGTGAATCTGCCTTTGAGGAATAAAGGACTACCCCTGTCATTACATACACATCATTTTAACTTCAGTTAGCAAAGATAACATAAACATACTGGTCTAACAAAAGCAAAGAAGTCCCACAAGAACAATTTCTTTTTTAATAATCTGCTGACACAGGATTTTCTTTTATTCAAGTTAGCTGAATGGGGTCTTTTAAAAGTGCAACTAGTATGCACTGCAACAAAGCATGAGTGTTCCAACACATTTAAGTGTAAATGCCTTTAGACAAGGCAATATGGTTTTATGTTTCCCAATAATCTGACCCTTAAAAATGTCCTCTTCTCACCCAACACACACATCTGTTGTTTATTGCTTTGCTTTGCTCCCCGCAGCTTGTGATGTGTTTTGTCAGCCTCTGCAGCCTCCGTCAATTCTCTGACGCAGTCGTAGGAACTGTCTACAATAAAATTGTTGCGTTGTCTTCGTTGGACTTGGCAACAATTTTACTAGTTTCAAAGCTGAACTCCATGCAGGTAAAATAAATGATTGCAGACCTGTATTCACTAATACACCCTTAAATATATTTTTGCAAACATAGAAGGACCTATATTTGACTTGGCATCAGCCTCTTACAGTCCCTCAAGGGTGGAGCTCAGACTGGGGGAGGGAGGAGCAGCACAAACAGCCAATCATTTGTGCTGCACTGCTAATAGGAGAGAGCAGAGTGACAGAGAGATGAGCTTATCAGTCTGCTGTTTCTCCTTTCACTGTCCAATCACAGGCTGTGGGAGGGACAAGACCTGTAAGTGTTACTGAACTGCAATGACGAAAAATCTGCTCTTCTGCCCTACCAGACTGGGCTATGCTGTGTGGCACAGCAGAATCGGAAGAACTGGAATACAAATTCTTCAGCAGGAAAACAGTTCTCGAATATTTCTTTTATCTGTGCATTTAGATATTTGCCTGGTGTTCAGCTTTAACTTGTAATCAAAATACATGTAAATGGTTGACCAAAAAATATTAATTACAGTTATTTCTGGCCTAGTGTGCTTACTGCAGACGACTAGAAGACTTTTGTTTCATGACCTTAATTTCCAGTTGATAGGACAACGCCAATCCTGGAAGAAGAAATTCAATAACTCAAGTGTTCTCACACCCAAATGCACAATGATAGTATATTGTTCCACTAACTGTACAAAGTACTGCTTCGCTCGCTGAAACAGCAATTGCATGTTTTTTTTTTTTTTCTTTTTGCCTTGTGTTCTGGCTCGTGTGTGTTAAATAGGAATTGAGCCTCAATACTCAGCAGATTGCCACGGCTGCTTAAAACAAGTCAATGTGCATCCTTCTGTATAATATATTGCTCACTTACGGGTAAAGATGCGCCATAATTCAATCAGCTCTACAAATGGATGGCATGCACCTTACAACATGATCGCTGGGGAAGCCAAAGATGGTAATTGTTGCAATTTAACCCCTGAGATTCTAGAGCGTGGCGCTCAATCAATTTGTGCAAGCAGATGAAAAGATGATTACTCCTCTCCGCGGAGATGGTAAGAGCGTAAATCAGATCATTTGACGGAAATCAGTCCAGGACATAAACGCATTGTTCATTTTGCCTCAATCTGCAGAAATATTGTGAAATAGAGATGCTCCAAATGCCGTTTATGAGAGGTGTGTGTGCCTGTTTGACGTTTCGCAGAGCGAAGGGGTTTCCAAATTAAACAATGGTGCTCTACAATAAAAGCCAAAAATAAACAGGCAATAAAAAATTCACAGCAATTATGCAGACAAAAAACAAAATGGTTTGTGAATAAATGGTTCACAGTCTGCCAGTTATCGGAAGAGGGTGGAGAAAGGTCATGAGAATGGCAAGGAGGAAAGAGTATATACATTTACTTCAGGTTTTTATTCAGCGCTGACAATTTATGCATAGAGCCACACACAC